TATGAAAAGATTGCTGAAAGTTGGATTTATAAAAAAAAGCAAAAGAATCCAGGAATGCTGGTGAGGAGAAGAAAGTAACCAGGTGTTGGAGTTGTGAACTTTACTGGAAACAGATGTGGTACCTTTCTTTATTTGTTCCTGCATGCAGTTTTGCAGTACTAGAGTTTGTTTTAGCAGAAGTAGTGAATAAGAAACAGTAATGAAAAGAGTGTTTTGGAGGGAGCCAGAAACTGTAGTTTTTTACCTGTTTGAGGTTTTTGTTTGGTTTTTACAAATGGGTCTGACCCTTATGTTGGCTTTTAAGGTCTTGTCTTTGTTGGAGGGAAACATCTGGCTCTTCCATTCTGATTGTGTTGTTAAAACAGCTGGGAGTACTTTTATAACATATTGCCCGCATTTGTGTTTCTTCTCTCAGATTTTATGTACAGCAGAAATATGTTGTTGCCAAAGTTATTTCTCGTCATAGTAGGCAGTGTGAATTCAGATCCAGGCTCCTGCTGATCTGTGGTCCTGACCTCTGACCTCATCTGGCTGAAGTCAGGCTTTGACATCACATCCCTTGCAGTGTGTCTGAAAGTGAACCAGTGAGGTTGAGAATGCATGCTAAGCACACATCTCTGCTAGAAAAGGCAGAAAATGTACTTGGATCACATCATGTTTATGATCCCTTTGATTTCTTTCCATCAGAGGCAGGATTTTTATCTTTATCCCATGTGGAGTAAGTGCTAGCACTCAGCTACTGTAATTCCTACCAACAACAGTTTATATGTAATGTCTTCATTGACTCCTCTTTGATGTAACATGTGAGTGAGTTTTGTAACTTTGCAAAACGTGGAAGCAGAGAGGAAAATGGCTCGTTAGGTGTGAATAGATTCCTGTTGAATATCTGTGGTGTGTGTAGGCACAGAAGAAACCCTATGTTTCTGTAGGGCTTTCATTTTTTAGTATTCTGATGGCACCAGTATGGCGTGCATAAAGTTGATAAATACAGTTTATCCACAGAGGAATACTTGGAAAATAAATAAGAGGAAAGCAACTAAGATGAAAGTCTGTATAACATTTGTATTTCTTTTTCAGAAATAAGTTGTACATAAAAGCAAATTTGAACGGTGTTACTTGATCAGTTTTCCTCTTTGCAGGAACCAAGAGGTTTGTGATTGCTGAGGTTTTGTTATTTAGCACTTTTTGTATGATGTCTGTTGGGGGTAGCGATCAAATTCTATTTGAGTTGTTAAGCTCTAGAAATAGTGAGTACTGAAATACTGAGGCAAAATAAAAAGACCTAAAACACTAGGTTGAATACCTAGTAGGATGTAGGTCTGGAAATGTTTGTTACAGCAAACAAATTATTTAATTCACAAGAACAAAGGAGTAATGGCAGCTAAGAGAAGTTATTCAAGTCATAAATACATATTATTAGAACTTGATTTAAACTTTTTGGCATTGGTTTGGAAGAAATGTGTTTGGATAAGAAATAGTTCAACATGTTTATATAAAAAACCCCAACTTATAATTCCAGATTTCATTTGTTATAAAATACATGTTCAGCCAATAGACTTTCCATTTAGAAAAGCCAAAAAGCTTTTATTCATATCATGGAAAAAAAAAAAATTAATTACCGTATGTAATTATGCAGATTACCTAAATAAACTCTTCAAGAACTGCCTGTAGATTGGGACTTGTCTGAAAAAGAAGATATCTGTTAAAATTGATGGTAACTGCAGTGAAGTGTCACTTAGGTTTTTATTGGTCATGCTCAAGCTGGCCACCCTAATATTATGTTTTAAGAAAATAGTTGCAAATTATATGTTCCAACTCTTTGAACTGAAGGAAAGGCCTTCAGTGCAGCAGGGAGCTTTATGTAAGCCATGGGTGGGGGTGTTTTGGATGGCTGAGACTTGTTTGCTGAATGACACTTCTGGAAAATAATAGACTTGGCTGCTGCCAGGGTTCAGTGGTGGGTCATGAAAACGAGGTGATGCAGACCTCGTCTGCACTGCCATCAGCTGAATCTGAAGCTACCTGTGTGCAGCGTTCTGGGGAGGAGAAATCACCATCCTGTTCGTTTTGCACTGCAAGCGGAACCACTGTAACTTCCTGTTGTATTGGTTACTTACTCCCTGTTGTATTAGTACACTTATGGTGTACTTTTTCATGAGGTAATTGCCACTTGAGATGCTTTTGAAATGGTCAGGAGCAGACACCGGATACGGAATGGGCAGTTTGGTTCTTTGCTGTGCTGCTTTTCTCTTGTGGGTTTGAGCAGCTTCTGGATAGTGTGTGATCTGCAAATGGGAAAGCCATTAGCCAGAGAGCAAGGTGCTGCCTGTCTGGAGAGGTTCAGGGTGTACTTACATTCCTTTCTGCACCCTTTAGTGGGCAGAGATGGACAAGGAAGCCTGGAGGCAGCATAGCCATGGAGTACCATATTGTCTGCGTGTTGCCAGGAGATCCATTGTCCCTGTGGAAAGTCTGGAATCTAGTTCAGCTGGAGAGAGGGTGAATGCCCTAAGAAATAATCTAGGAAAGCTAAATCTGAATCTTTCTTGAAAAACATAATCCTTTGGTCCAGGAAAGGTTTTGTTGAACGTGTCAGTCAGTATACTTCCCAGAGATATTTCTCCTTTACACTGGAGACTCAATAAGGCAGGAAGGTGACTAAGCTGTGCCGCCCTCTTGACATTGACCAGAACTGGTTCTCCTTTCTCAGAGCTTGTAGCAGGGCTTTTGTCAGAGTAGCTGCCATTTCTTCTTGAGGGCTTCTGTGCCTCCACTAGGCTGGGGGGGTGTGAGGAAACTGGAATCATTTGAACTGTCTTTGGTGCTTCCAGAGTTTTACTCTTAACTGGTGGCTTCAAAACTAACCTGTTTTGTTGTTTAGTTTAGTTGCATTTCTTTGGAGAATGTTGGTGTTTTGGGATATTCAAGGTTGAAAACATCTTTTTTCTCATTGCTGCAGTATAGATGGTGTGTGCTATTGGTATTGCAGTCAGTTTTGCTAACTGATGATAGGGAGAATTAAAGCTTGGGCAATACTGAAGATTGGTTGATGGAAGTAAGGTAGTAGTACTTTATTTTTTGGCACCGCAGAAGGCATTTCGTTTTTGTGAACTATGTTTGAACAGGACCTCCTGCTCCCCTGTGTTTATTGGTTTTGAGACTACAAGTCAAAACAATTCACTTTGTGCAGATATATTTGATAAAGTCTTTCTCAAGCTATTGTGACCCTGACAAAATATGGAAGTAGGATAAATGTAAGGGAATCAGGACTTAGAGACAAGGCATTCCAAATGTACTATGGGAATATAGATGAACCATAGATAAACTTTTGGTTCAGTAAATAGCACATATGAAAGAGGGTTGCAAGCTGTCTTCAAGGTTGTACTTCCTCATGGCCTTTTTTACAGTTTTAGCTGGAAAAGACGCTGATACTACCCTTTAATTTCTGCTTAAGAAAGCTTGTGGATTTTGTGTACTTGTAGTGTAGTTGGTCATTTGATCTTTGCAAATATAGTAAGTGTTAATTAAGTTCAGTGCGATCACAGTCTGTTCTGATTTGGAGCCTGAAACCTCTATTGTCTGTATTTAAAAACAAAAATCTATAATTTTGAACCTGAGAGGCATTTGGTTATATAATACAATTCTTAAGAGGATGAAATGAAATTAGCTGTAACGGCAGTTCCTTATTTGTTTTAAGGTTTGTCCAGTAAGTGTTCTATAACAAAAGGACCATTTGTTTGTCATCTTAGTTTAAATATATACTTGCTTCTGCAGAGATAAAATCAAAGAACTCTCCCTACTTTTGGTATTTCTGAGTTCCATGGTCCAATTCTACAGTTTTACGTGCTGTGCACACAGGTAGTATTTGATTGTGGCTGGTGGTTCCTTACTTTTCCCCGTGAGCTGATAGAACTGGAGGGAGGTTTCACGGTCATGGACGAGGGAGTTAAGAGAGAAATTCTCCTTTGTTAATGCTGATCCCTTGAACTTGCTAGCAAGTTACTTAAGATTTTAGAGCATGGAACAACATAGTAACAAAATTTTATCTTGTTTTAACCTCTGCAACATCACTGTGAGCAAGATTTTCACATTAGTGCCATCTCTCTTGCAAAACCTTTCAAAGGTACCTGATGCTGTACTGCTTTTTTTACCCAAGTCAGTTTCCACCCACCAAAATATTATCTGCTCCTTTTAATATACAAAATATTAAAACAATAAATGATATAAATACAAGTTTTTCGTTGCTTTAGGTATGCCAGTATTGTGCAGTGCCCCAGAGTGTGGGAACACCGTACTAATAGTGCCAAATGGGACTGACTGGGAATCAGAGGTAAATTAATCAGAAGTCTGCCAACTCATGGCTAATAACCAAGGTGCAGCATTTCACCTAGTTGTTTGCCAGGTGCTACAGTTGCCACTGCTGGGTTTACTGCCTCTACCACCTGTCTGGGTTAGCTGGAGAACCTTGTGATGGATTCATGGAGTTGTGCTGAAGTGAGCTCAGACTTGGTGCCCCTTGTTGGCTTGTGTGTGTCTGCTTGCAAATTCTAAGGTGAATATTTTACAACTCTGAAATAAGAGGCAGGCAAACTAGGGGAGAGGCCAGGGAAAACTGTGTGTTCAGTAGCTTCACAGTTGCTCAGCTGGGTTAGTGTCAATGTAGTTTAGTTCTTATTCCCCTGCTCTAACGATGAGGAGTCACTTGGTTCCTCAGAAGGATGCTCTTGCTTACCACGGGCTGTCAGTACATTAATTACTGGGCTTGCACTAACTCTTTTAGCACTTCATGTGCTCTCAATGAGTGTCATTTAATCAGAGAAATAATGCTGTGTTGCCAGTTTCTAGTTTGCTACTGTTCCTTTTCCCAGAGCTATTTAAAAGATTTCTTAGTTTGTGAAAGTCCAGTTGTCATAGGAATGACTCCTCTTTCATTTATGAAGAGCAGACCTCTGTGACTTCATTGTCACATTTATATTCTAAACTTTTTCTCTTTTACCTAGTGAGAGAGCAGCTTTGGTGTTGAAGAGAAACCTCGGAAAGGAATGGGCCCTGTTCTCTTGAAGCTGTTTGCCCTGCTCCCGGTAATGCTGTAGAGGTTAGTGATGTGAATGTTGAAGAGCTTTTGTGGAAATTGCCTTTTGATTTGTAATTGGCACACCCTTTAATAAATTCTGTGTGAAGCAGTTCATTTGCCTGTCACAGAGAGGGAGTTAATTCAGGCACTGTCAGAACACAGTCAGCTTAAAATTGCTCTTCCCAAACAAAATTTAGGATTTTGTTTATTTGTGGGGATGCTGTGGAAATACATTGCTGGGTGGTCACAGAAAGTTGTGTGGGTGTGATACATGCTCAGAAACAAGTTGCATTAAAGTTGTAGGTGTTCATCAATGGGTTTAAAAAAAAAAAAAAGGGTAAGAATGATCACAGTACATGAGTCTGTACTGCCTGATTCTTCTTTGATTTTTTAGGAGTATTCTTCTCTCATTTTTACTTTGAGAGAAGAATACTCCTGATCTTCAGTAGAGTTGACAGGCTAGGAAGGGTCCGTTCTGTATCCACACAGAGGTAATGTTATCTCTACTTCTGCTTCAAGTGACTTGTATTTCGGTGTTATATCCTAGTTTACTTGGGTTTGTACAAACTGTATAGACTCCTCGCTGTGAATGTTTTTCCCCAGAGCTCTATAGTCCTGCTACAAATATTACAACCTATAAGAGGCTTTCTTTTGCAACTAGAACTTTCAGTCTAGCTTACTTCCATGTTTTTTTGAAAATTGCCAAGGATTAAGTATATTTATTACCTAGTGGAGTATTTTTTAACTAGTGAAGTAAAAAAAAATGCTTGTGTAGCTGTTAAATTCAGTAAGGCTTGATTTTGCTGATAAAAAATGAATGTAGCAAGTAAAATTAGATGAAGTAAGTGGGAGGGAGAGAGGGAAGAGGTAGCCCTGTTGAAGTGCACTGCTGAAGCAAAGAGGTGAATTTCCATAGGAGCAGTTGAGTGAAAATCTATTAAATCTGTCTGGTTTACTGTAAAGGATTCTAATCTTTGTTAGCTTACTTTACAAGCATGGGGGTGTATGTGTGGTGTGGCTACTGAAGAGTAACGTCCAAGCTTTGCTAGGACACCCTTTGACATACAGACCTGTTTGCAGCAAAAAGAAAAACAGCCCAGTGGAAAAAAGGCTGCAACATGTCACAGACATTGAAAGTGAAGAGGTGACCCGGTGGGAAAAGACAAGGAAATGTTAGTTGGCGTCACTCTTTGAGGCGTGAAGAGCAAGTGCTGCCACTTCATATCAAGAACTTTAGTCACTGATGTATTCTCACCATTTTATATTGTTTCATATAAAACTGAGAATTGTAAAGTGTTCAAGTGTGAGGTATCACTTCTAATTTAACAAAAGTATCCAGAAAGTCAGAAACCCCAAAGCACATCCTTCCATGTGAAATCCTGCACTCCAACATCAATGCTTTCATTCTAGCTCTGTGCTGCTCCTTTTGGTTCCAATGTTTTATTCATTAACAAAAACCACAAACCTGTCCACAAGGGGGTCTGACATAAGTATGCTTTTTTTTTACTTTTTTTAGCTCCCTTCAACTTATTGTGTTTAGATTTTTTTGAGACATATATATTACTTTATGGAGAATAAAAGAAGATGAAAGATTCGTCTCCTCTCATGGTAGTCTCCATTTTGACTTAGTAAAAGCAGTTGGTTTCAAGCAGCCTGTTGAATGCAGACTATTTTGTGACACTGTGAAGACTGTCTTGTTAGGATCCTGATCTGCTATTCAGGTACTTATGTAGTAAATATTTCCTTGGTACATCATGCATCCTGTTCTTCCAGTTCTGAGGACATAGAAGAACTGGTAGAACTTAACAGCTTGGTTTTAGGGTTGTGGTTATATTACTTTCAGACCCAAGCCTGCTATATTTGATTTGGTTGAGCTCTCCATGGGGCCACATTGAGTTTCTCTCCAGCTGTGGAATGACTTACCTGCAGCTACATGGATAATAGTAAAAATTGCGATGCAGTTTATGAGCACATAGGAGATAATGAGATAAGGGAAGACAGCCAACCAACATAAATTTGCTAGGGAGAAAATTGTATCAAACTGATTAGTTTGTTTCCTTGACACATGAATTAGATTAGTGCATAAGGGAGGCAAGGGATAGAAGTGATACAAATAGAAGTGTGTAAGGTTCTGAATGATGTTCTTTTGAGTGTAATATGTGCAGTATTTTGGTTTTTTCAAATGGGATCTTCCTTAAATTACTATATTGCAGGAGCAAAATTTATTAAAAATGATTCTGTGAAACCCTTAATAGGGATTTGAGATCACTTGGAAAAGCATTTGAAGTAGGCTTCCATATTATACTAGCTTGTCATGGCTGGATTTGTCAATGGCACCCATGATTTAGGTTTTAGTACATGGAGTGGGGTTCACTTATGAGCTGTGCTGGTGAGGTCAGTTTGGGAGTAGACAGAATGGGCAGCCTAGAGTGTTGATAGGAAGCTGTTGGTCACTGGAGTAAGCAAAGTGTGTGTGTTGGCTTAACCTGACTCACCCTGTGTTTATTTGTTATACCAAAGGAGCTCAGTCAGTGTGTATAACGTAATTATGCTGAGTTTACTGCATTGGATGGCCTCTTCCAACACTCACAGCATAGCTTGTGGTACTTTTCTATCCTTTAGAAAACTGCAGCACTGAAACCTAGACCTTGAAAGGAGGTGTTTGTTTATTTGTAGCAATTTTTTTATTCTGCCACAGGAAGAAAAATGTGTGAGTAGGGAGGAGTGACCATATTTTTTTAAGAGCTTTTGTAGAATAAGATATGAAATATGGAAATAATTGTTGTCTTGGGATGGTGTCAGAGAAGTCTGTCATACTGCTTTGTTTTAAATGCCCTGTGATAGAAAGGGGTGCTTGTGTGCCATGCTCTTGTATACACAATGCTCTTCTCATAGTTGTCAGGTTATCATGAAAGATTCATTTCATGGCTCCCTTAGAGGTGAGCACTGATATTTCACACTGGGTCAGTAATTTTTGCTAGCAATAGATTAATGCCTAAAACTCCCTTGTCTGACATGTTCTCGTCTGTGATGCTGTAGTTTCTTACGGATGGGAAGCATAGTGAGGCAAAAAAAATAAATCTCTATTTAAGTTATCTCTGTGGGGATGCTGTTCTCTGTTTCTGTGATCCCTGCTGCTGTTTTCCTGACTTCTTGGGGTATGGCTTTTTGCTTGGTATCCTAGCAAATGGTTTTCTAGAAAAACTGCAAATTATGAAGGTACACCTTAGAAACAGAGAGTGGTGCACCAGTGGTGTAATTGGAATTACAGGAATGCTGTGAAAGTTTCATGCCCCATCTTCTGTCCCAAAGGGAGGGGGAATATTGGAAGAGCCACTGCTGATAAGTGATAACCTGTGAAAGGCAAGCCTTAGGCAGTCCCTTGGAAAGACTTTTAAGTCCCATGAATTGAAACAAACTGGAGACACAGTAAACCTAGTTTTAGAGCTTTCCCTTGTTTGATTTTAATTTCAGGAAGCTGCCTGGGAGAAATCTCAAAGGCACATTCCTGTAGACGCAAGAATAACTGTTCAAAGTGCTGGGAGATGAAACTGATGTGCAGCAATTTTTATAAGTGAGGAAATAATAGTGCAGAAGTGGCCTACCACCTGCCTGTGTTGCAGTGAGAGTATATTAGAAGTACTGCTAACTCTTTGTTGTTGCTAAAAGGTCACCTTAGGAGAAGACAGAGGACTAAAATAGAATCAAACTAAAGAAAGAAATGTACGATAAAATTGTGAAGGAATATATGGATGTATAAGAGAAGAAGCCTTTGCTTTGATACTATTGTTGCAATTAAATCTTAGTATTGAGCATTTATTTACCTAATTATTTAATGTGCCTTTGTTTGCCAGCATATTGTTGGGTTTCACTCTGTTTATTGCATTGTGTTTGTCATAAAAATAAACAAGAAAACAAGAGGAGTTATCCTCATTCTGTACACTGCTTACTGTCAAAGCTTAAAAGGAACACAAAACTAGAGAAAAGGGGTAGCAACTAAAAAACTCTGCTTTTCTCTCTTGTGGGGAGTAAGTTCTGTCCCTATCTTCTTTGCATCCAGAAACAGCCAAACAGTGCAGGTCATCTAAGTGAGGTCATACACTTTCACAGATACACTGCAGAAGAAAGGACTTGCATTAAATAACTACTCAGTAATTTCTGTATCTATAAATGACATTACAGTGCATTTGATAGATAATTACTATTCCTTTTTTTGTTCTCTTCTTGATGATTTTTCCTCCAGCAAGGAAGTCTATTTCCTTAGTGTGAGTATTGTGTGTATGCATAGGTGAATCCTAGGGAAAAATGCCATCTCAGTAGTTGTGCTTTTGCTAAATGGATGCTCAAGCGCTCTTCTTCTGGGATAAATTTAGTTGGAAAGCAGTGTCCACTACAGTCATTTGAGTATCATTCTGAGAGAATTCTTTTCAGAGAACTGCAACTTCAATCATAATTTGTTTTCTGTACCCTTGGTTATTACCAAGGGAAGGGGCAAGTGTAGTGGTGAGACATAATATGCAAGTTTGGATAACATAATGCATTTCCTTAGAAAATACTACCACTTCTGAATAGTTTTTGTTATTGAAACAAAACATCTGGCAGTTCTAGATTGTATGGTGCTGTGCATGAAAGTGGCATTGCAAGCTAGAATAGTAAACAGTGTTAAAAAAACACAACAAATCAACAAAGCCCTTAAAAGCAGAAGAGTTAATCAAGAAAATCCACATTACATCTGATCCAGATTCTAGTAAGGAGTGTCTGTTGTCCTTAGTTTATTTTTTCCCCCAGAATAATTGGTTCTATTGTAACCAAAATTGAAACGTATTTACTTTTTTGTGTGATAAGAGAAACAAGAAAATATCATCTTGCAAATTAATTTGTAAGCCATGATACATCATTCTCCTTTGTACAAGTGATTGTACTGCTGACCAGATGTTGATTGGCTTGAGCACACAGTTTTTCATCTTGATCCGGTGCTTGTGTGAGTTGGATTTATTCTTTGTGAAGCAGCTGTATCAGTG